GATCATGCAAGGTCTAGGACCTTAGAGAGTGAGCGTGTGTGGTCTAGGACCTTAGAGAGTGGGCGTGCAAGGGCTGGGACCTTAGAGGGTGACCGTGAATGGTCTAGGACCTTAGAAGGTGATCATGCAAGGTCTAGGACCTTAGAGGGTGACCGTGCATGGTCTAGGATCTTAGAGGGTGATCATGCAAGGTCTAGGACCTTAGAGAGTGGGCGTGCAAGGGCTAGGACCTTAGAGAGTGGGCGTGCATGGTCTGGGGCCTTAGAGAGTGGGTGTGCAAGGACTGGGACCTTAGAGGGTGAGTGTGCAAGGTCTAGGATTTTAGATAGTGGGCACCCATGGTCTAGGACCTTAGAGAGTGAGCTTGCACGGTCTAGGACTTTAGAGGGAGGGCCTACATGGTCCAGGGGGAAGTTAATGCGCATGCATGGCCTAGGGCCTCAGAGAGTGAGCATGTATGGTCTAGTGTGAGAGAGCCTGAAAGTAAGAAGTAGAAGTAAGAAGCAAAAACCAAAGGAAAAAAGACCATGACAGACAGGTAAAGCACAGCATCTGTGATCTTTGTTCTTTTTTGTTCAGATGGCAAAGTGTGCCATGCATTATTTTACTCTCAACGAACTAAACAAATATTGTATTCTGAACGTGAACCAGAAGAATTAAAATGGACAATCTCTACATCATTAACATTGAAACAATGCAGACCTATAATCCCAGTACTCTGGCATGCTGAGGCAGGAGAACTGCAAATTTGAGCCCAGACTGGACAATTTAAGTACTTGGAACATGTACAGTATCAAAATAATAAATAAATAAATAAGTTTTAAAAGGATTGTAAAATCTAAATTCTTACAGTGGGCCCAGGAATTCTAATGGAGAAAACAGAGACAACTATTGAATTTTTAGATAGAAACTTTGATTTTAATAGGAAAAATTATAGAATTGTTAAATGTCAAGATGTATCCTTCATTTTGAGACAGCTTGAGCAAGTGTGTACAGAAAAGCATTGTGGAAAAGAAAGCAATATGAACAGAGTTTAGGACCTTTGTTTTGTTTTGTTTTGTTTGGACCTTTTTTAAAAACCAGAAATGATTCTTTCTACATATTTGAGATGGTTATATTCTCTCCTTCAGTGTAAACCAGAATAGAGTCACTGTTTTCCTTTTAAAGGTGATACACATCTTGTTTTTATGGCACTCTTCCTAGATCCATTGATATATAAATAACACATAAGTCTCTAAGGTGATGAAAACTACTTTCACTACTTGATTTCCAAGATCAAGGAGTTTCCCTATCAGAATGACTAACCCTTGTTTAAGCCCTAAAGAAATCACTTCACTTATATACAATAAAGTTAAAATAGGTCCCATCCATTTTCTTTATGTCCATTTCATTAAAATATACTAGTTTCTTTTATTTAAAAGATACTTAGGCACCTTGTACTGATGATGTCGTTTACATCTCCAATGATCTCGCCATACAATTTTGTTATCTACGATACTGAGGATTTTCCCTAAAGGAAAAGAAACCCTCAATACTTTTGATGATGAAGATTGTGATGGCATTCTTAGATGTAGCTAATATTCACAGGTAGTTTTAAAACTTTTTCTTTCTTTTTCTTTACCTAGAGAGATTTAAGAAAGCATTAGTTACTTAATTCTTCCCAAAACATTTTAATTGCCTAACCAAAAAGCAGTATTTTTTAATACTTGAGGCATATGTAGAATTACATTTGTATACACAAACATAAAATTATTTTTAAATTATTTTACAAGTTGAATTAAAAATTAGGAGCAACCTCTTTCAGAGAAACAATTATCAAATAGGACAGTTTTTCCCCCAGGGATATTGGCAGTGTCCTCGAGAAATTATTGGCTATTACAATTTGGGTGCTACTGGTATTTATTGAACAGGGGTCAGGGATATAAATAAATATAAATAGCCTACTATGCAAGAAAACCCAGGATGCGAGAGAGAGGGAGAGAGGGAGAAAGAGAATATGAATACATTTTCAGGTCCACAATGTAAATAGTGCCAAGATTGGGAAACTTGGCCTGGATAATTTACTAAAATTTAAAGTTCCTTCAACTTAATTAATTTTGTTTTCACACAGGCAAAGTAGGGTTTACAGAATAAGAGAAAAAAAATAATTTACTTTTAAAATACATTCATTAATCCTGACTGAAATTCATAAAAGTTTAATCTTAAAATTGGAGAAACTGAGGATTTCTCCTTATCTATAAGCTCCTTTGGAGGAGTCTTAACAGTTCCAGCTGGCAGCTATGCCAATTAGCTAGAAAAGTATTTGTAAGAGAAATGATTAACTAATGAAGCTATTTCAAGAAAAATCCATCTGTTAGAATCAGCCTATGCAGTGTATGTCGCAGATTTTTCTATCCTCCTTCATAGCGTGTGCTTCTAAAGCAAAACTTGTGCATGGACAAGTGATCCGGGCTCTTTCTAGCTTTTAGGGAGCCAGGGATTGGCTTCCTTTCCTCATGCTATGAGCCATGTATGAGTAGAGGAAGGGCAGCCCTGAACTTTGATAGCTTCAGTATTGTGTTTTACAAAACTGGGAAAGAAGAAAAATGCAAATTGTGTAAATTAATAATCAAATTGCTATTTTCTTTTCATTCTAGAGGAAAAGAGAAAGATACCATCTGATGCTACCAAAATCATAGAGGTTCTTAAAATTATTCTGTATGCAAAAAGTAGAGTCAAAATTGTTGATAACTGAGTTAGCCAATAATTGTTGTTGCAGTACACTCCTTTACTCTTGCCTGACAGGATTTGTGGACACCTAGTGATACTTTAGGGACAGAATAAGCAACATGAAAGACCCTAACACTCATGATTCCTGACTATTTTATTTTTTTAACACTATAGGAATTTTTTTTTACATTTCAGGGATTAAAAGAAGACTAGTATCTCTGTCTTTCTTGCCTTTTGCTTTATCAGAAGAGTTCATTTTAATAATTTTATGGCATTCAATCCAAAACAAATGAAATCTTTTGTTTTTATTTTTTGTGGCTCAGGAGATCAAACCTAGGCCTTCATGCATGGTAGGCAAATGCTCTACCACTGAGCTATACTGCAAGCTTTTTAATTTTTATTTCTGGGACAGGATTTTACTGAATTACCCAAGCTGACATTGAACTTGCAGTTTTCCTGTCTGAACCCCCAGAGTATTGGGATTACAGGTGTGTATCACTCTGCCTAGTATAATATTTAAAGAAAGCTATATCAAATAAAACTTATATCTTCAACCTTACTTTTGATAATCTATAAAAGGCACAGTTATATATAATGAAGCAGTTCCATATTTTAAAGGTTTGTAAGTGTTGGTGGGTATTGGGAGACAGGAAAGATAAGCTAAAAGTGGTAAATTATGACTGAATTTCATACTATATCACAATTTTCTAAACATTGGCCTCAGATTAAATGTTTTAGGAAATATTTTTCCCCAGTGGCTGCAATGCTGTTATGTTGTTTTATCTATGACTAAATGAGGGCATCTGATAATCACTATAACTTAATTTCTTACATATTTTTATTATATATATTTTTGGCAGGGGGGTACTGGGGATCAAACTCAGGACCTTGTGCTTGCGAAGCAGGCAGTGGAACCACTGAGCTAAATCCCCGACCCTTATAAATTTTTAAATGTATGCAGAAAGATGGATTATTCAAGGTAGGCAATAAGTGATTAACTCATATGTTAAGGGTATATATTTTTGTGTCCACTTAAGTAGTAAACCAGGTACAAATGTATTTTATGAGAGACTTTTGAAACTCAAAGTTTGATTTTTCTGCCTATCATGTTTATCTTTCTTTTGCATATTCTTATTTTATATATCCCTATGACCTTTGATTTGAATCTTTAGAACACCTCGGTTATGAATGAGCTGTTTGCTCTCAATAAATCACATGTGAAGAATTATAGAAATTAATAAAAAAGAGGAAAATTTTTTCTCATCTTAGTTGGCACTGTGCTGCTAAAATAGAACACTGGAAGCTGAGTAATTCATAAAGAGCAGACATTTATTAGGCTCATGGTTTGACAAGCTGGGAGGTCCAAGAACATGGCCCCAGGAGGCTGTAGCACCCCATGGCAGAGTGTGGATGGACAGGGTCAGCAAAAGGAGGGAGCAAGAGAGAGCCAAGTTCACTT